AAAAAGAAAAAGAAAAAGAAATGCAGCCTGAGTACCAAGTAGGGACACAACGTGTAGCACTGTGTAATGACAATGAAATCGAGATTCCCACAAATGGCTACATATGACAACATAGGAAATATGCTAGGGATATGTGACAAATGTTTGAATAAAAATTTACTCCAATAAAAGACACATTCCCATTAAACCCCTTTAAAATATCCTCCTTTGCTTCAAACATACTAAGGGAAACTAAAGTAGTGTGGGAAGGGAGGTTGGGTAGTGCTAGCAACAACTCCAGTAAGTCTAAATGCCATGTAAGAAACTAGAATTTATATGAACTCTGAGGATTTGAGAATGGAGAAACTGGATCAGTCACTGTTTCATGAGGGACTTCAAGGACAATGGCTCTAAGAAGATTTTACTGAAATTTGGGCAGTATGGCCATCCAAAAGAGGCAAAGCTCATCAGATGCTCCAGTTTATTGTGGGTATAAAAATATTTGAATCTCATGTGTACAGAGCAGATACACGAATTCATAGATTTAGGGCTGGGAATTTAGCTCAGTGCTAGAATACTTGCCTAGCAAGCTGGAAGCCCTGAGTTTGGTCCTCAGCATCAGAAACAAAAAATAAACCTAAACTGAAAAACAATTTAAAAAAAGACATACACATAAAAAGGATAAAAAACAAATCAATAGATTTCAGGCTAAGATGATAGGGATTAAAAGAACAGCAACACCCTGGCAGGCAGGGTCAGCAGGGAGCAGGCGCAGTGTGGATGCACACCAGCAGGCAGGACCAAAGGCGTGGAAGAGTCTGAAGCACCAGTGAGAATACGAGCCGGCAGTTGGTAAGTAAGTGCACTGGTGTTGTGCTCTGCACAGACATGTGGGGTAGAGGTGGGCATGCAGGGCTGTCATTCTGTATTGAGGGGATCTGGGGGGATTCCAACAACAGATGACCAGTCCTAGGCCCCACATCCAGAGGCAAGATCAGCCCCATACCTAGCACAAATCCCACTGCAAACTTGATCAGAACACTTCTGGGATCCAACTTGGATTTACTACAGAACAGTAGACACCAGAAGAATTTTTATACCTTTCTTTTTCTTTGTTTGGTTTTCCTTTCTCTGTATTTGGTATTTTTTCTTTTTATGCTGTTGAGATTCCTTATCTTTCTTTTTGTTTTCTTCTATTCATCTTCTTTATCTTGTTCCTTAACTAGCTCTCTTTTTTATTTTTTATTTTTACGTATTTGGTACAGGGTCTCACTATACAGCACAGACCCATAGTGATCCTATTTTCAGCCTCCCCAGTGCTGGGATTACAGGTGTGTGCCACCATGCCTGGTCTTGGTGGCTGGCTCATTGTGCCAAGGGGTGGGGCTGCACAGCATGCAGGGCCAGGGATTGAACCTTGGTCCTTGTGTTTGCCTAAACAAGAGCTTAGTCTACTGAGCTATCTTACCAGCCCTCAACTATCTCTCAGTTTTTATGATATTTTCATGTCATTTCTCTTTCTGGTTTACTTAAATACTCCTCCACTTTTTCTTTCATTCTTTCACTCCTGTATTCTCCTGTTTTCCACAACTTGGATGATCACTTTTTGCCCCCATCCTTGCTTGTACTATATATGACCTCAATCATTTCTCTATCTTGTCCCCATCCCTGTTAAATACTACCTATGCACCACAACAGGGTAAAATCACTTTGTAAAGGAGAAAAATCTTTGCATACAAATTCTAGCAATCTGTTGCATTTTGTTATATAAGTATAAAATCAGCTCCTATGGCTAAAGGTATCAGGTTAATAGTTATCAGTTTGTCAGTAGGTAGGCTGTGCCTGATACTATTGTTGTTACAAACTGTACTACTTTATCCAGGATGTCATACCTGCTATAATCAGTTTGGCTTCCTTGTATCACAACACTATGATTGTCTAGGGTTGTGACCATCACTATAGTCCAGTAAAAAAGGGCTAGATGCTGAACCAAATAGCAACTTTTCATCCTTAATGAATTGGGAAGGTAGGTTCTTGTGATAGATAAAAAAGGTCAAGAACCATCTACATCTAGAAGACATCTCTGGGGAACAGACATTTCCTAAGGAAGCCTTGATATTAATGATAAAATGATCTACCATAAGAATTCTACAACATCAACATGGGAAATAAAATAAAATAAAAAATAGGAAATGATAAGATGTAGAAGAAAAATGCAACTCCAGATCTCCAGCCCACTCAGTACAAGTTCAGAACATGACAAAATCAAGGAAGTAAGAAGCCATGCACTGGAAATTTATGAAATCATAGTAGCAGACATGAAAAAACAAATGGAAGGGATATAGAAAAACTCTCTCACGTAAAAAAAAAGATGATCAAATTGAAAGACATTAGAGCAGACACAGGTTAAAAAAATAGAGGAGTTTAGGAAAATGATGGATACCATTAATGCCCAACATAGGAAAGAAATGAGGTCTATGAAACAGATCTAAACATATATCCAAGAGAGTAAAAACTCCATTGAAAGTATATGCAACAGATTGAACAAAAGCGAGAATAGAATTTCAGATCTAGAAGACAGGATTGTGGGTAATGAACACAAAAAGAAAAATGTCTTAAAAATAGCAAGAGAGTATGAAAACTCAATCCAACATCTGCAAGAGAAACACAAGATTGATTGGAGTGAATGAGAAAGCTGAAGATAGAACAATAGCATAAAAAAATCTCTTTACAGAAGTAATGGCAGAAAGCTTCCCAAACATAAAGAATTTGATGTATAAATAAGTGAGATATATAGAACTCCAACTATCCCTGACCAAAATAAACTTACACCAAGACATATAATCAAGATTCCAGAGATTCAGCACAAGAACAGAATATTAAAAGTGGCTAGAGAAGAGAATAAAAAACCTATAAAGAAAAGCCCATCAGAATCACAGCAGACTTCTCAACACAAACACTCAAATCAAGGAGAACATGGACTGAGGCATTTTAAGCCTTAGAAGAAAACAACCTCCAACCTAGATTGATGTGCCCTGAAAAACTCTTTCAAAATCAATAGAGAAATAATAAGCTTTTATGATGAAGGACATCTGAAGAAATTCACGGCAACCATACCACCTCTCCAAAATGCTCTGAAGGATATATTAGAAAAAGAAAATGAAGACCATGAACACAAAAACACTAATAGAAAGAAGCTACCAGGCAGGGCAAATAATTTAATAGAGGACAAAGACAGGGAGCCAACAAGAAAATAATATGTGAACTATAAGCCAATACATATCAGTTATTTCCACCAATGTAAATGATCAAAATTCTTCAATCAAAAGAGACAGACTGGAAAAATGGATCTAGAAGCAAGATTCAACAATATGCTGCATAAAAGAAACACACTCATATCAAAAAGAAATTCATAGACTGAAAGTCAAAATATGGAAAACAATTTTGCATGCCACAGGATCCCAGACAAAAGCAGGGGTAGCTATTCTACTTGAAGACAATGTGAATTTCAAGCCAACACTAAGCCAAAGACACAAGGAAGATCACTATATACTTGTTAAGGAAAAACTCCCTTAACGAGAAAGGATAGAATCATAAATATATATGCTTCTTATTAAGAAGAAATTTTTAACCTTAACGAGAAGGGATAACAATCATAAATATATATGCACCAAATACTGCTGCACCCAAGAACATAAAACAGATATTAGAGGACATGAAAAAATCAAACAGCACTAACACAATTGTAGTTGGTGATCTTAATACTTCACTGTCACAATTAGATAGATCAGTTAGCCAAAATATCAACAAAGATATATCAGAACAGAACCAAATCTATGAACAAATGGACTTAGTATATTTTAAGTGTATTTCTAGTATATTTCTAAGTACATAGAATATACAGTCTGCTCAGCTACATA